TTTTGCCATCCGGATTAACGCGCATGTAAAATGGTTTTATTTCTTTGGGATAGTCCGTAATAAACACCGGCCCACAACAATAATCAGTTGCCAGGTACTTTTCGTGTTCACTTTGCAACGAACAGCCGTACTTTGGCGTGTATTCAAAGTTTCGATTTGCCCTCGAAAGAACGTCAATGGCTTCCGAATAACTTAGCCGAGAGAATGGATTGTTTATCGTGTTTTCCAGGCGAGCGAAAAGTCCTTCGTTCATCCGTTGATTAAAAAACTCGATTTCTTGTGTGCAATTGTCTAAGATGTACCTTGTTGTTTCTCTTATACACCTCTCAGCGAAATGCAACAGTTCTTCCAACTTGAACAGGCAAGCAACCTCGGCCTCTAACATCCAGAATTCTATCAAATGTCTTGAGGTGAGAGATGCCTCGGCACGAAAAACTGGCCCAAAGGTGAACACACGTGACATCGCGCAAGCCAACATCTCTGCATGAAGTTGCCCCGATACAGTCAAATATACGGGAGCACGGAATAAATCTTCCCTTTGTTTTCTCGTTGAGGCGGTACAATCTTCGGGGGGTTTGTCTTTTGCATCTTGTAACTTGTTAGTAGATAGCCTAAACACCTCCCCACCGCCCTCGCAATCGGAACTTGTTATTATTGGCGTGTGAATTTGAAAAAATTCGTTTTCCTAGGAATACCATCATAAATCGATCTATAGCTCATCAGTTGTAAGTAAGAAATAGATTGATCGAGTGCACATTGCTACCTGGAAAAATTTCTGAAAACCCGAGACCGCCGAACTCCTAATTCGTATAATGGCTCCGAATATATTAGATCGGGATCTTAGGTGCGGGTTGTCTCGAAGAAATTCCATCGAGTGATATTTCTTTTGCAAGGGGTATGTCTAAATAAATAACAAGGCGACCCATCGTCAAACTTGATAACAGTCTCTCTAAACGCGCTTTGGGAAATTACGTACGGAGTCGCATTCGCCCAACATTTCAACATTATGTGCTTGCAATTCCTTACTTTGCTCGGCACCGGGACTTTGGGCAAGGATTCCTCGTATTTGAACGCACGCACCTGTCGTCAGCCTGTTTCGACATAACATTAATGAATAAATATGGGCGTTTGATGAATGCCCT